TTCAAGTGATGTAGAAGAGAAAACCAAATTTATATTTAAACACAATATGCTCAATATACAAATTATAAGAGAAAATCCTGAAATATCTTTTTGAATGTTTCAAGATTCAAAGCAAAAGATTATTTATAAGAAACTAATCTCAAAGTAAAATCTTTCAGTATATCAGAAAAACAAAAGATCTATCTGATAAAAGTCAGGTAGAAATTAAAAGAGTAACAGGGAAATATATTCAAAATATTAAACAATAAGATGAAAACCTATATAATACAATTTTTGGCTTTATATATAAAGACAAAATCAAGATTCTGAAAAAGTACCTTAAAGCTCTCAAGATCTCAATAATAACAATACAAAAGACTATTGATAAATTTTATAAAAAAATAAGGAAGACCTTCAAGAAAGAAATTTGGAATAAATATTGTAGTATTACTATCAAATGGAAACAAAATTAAGGAATTATTAGCAAACTTAAAAGGCTTAGAGTATTAACAGATATGACTAAAAAATGGATCAAGTTTCTAAGAAAGTCAATCACTTTTCTATTTTTTCTTTCAGAAATATAACAAAAGAAGAAGAAGACTCAGAATAAATAAAGTTCTAAGGCAATATAATAGATATAATAAATAGTTAAATATCCAAAGGTTTTAAATGATTTGGTTTTTAATCATAGTTAGAACTTTAGAATATATACAGTAATAAGCTATAGGCAATGATCTGAGTAGCTAGAGGATAATCCAAGCCACAAAGGGAGCAAAATATCATCTCCTAAGTTGCATCTAGAGAAGGTTAAACTTTGTAGATAGGTAAATTAATATGTGAAAGTCATAAAATATTAAATACAGTATATTTACAATAAAATCGACAAGTCATATTGGTCTAACCATAGGTTAAAAAAAAAACAAAAACAAGATATCCTTAATAAATATTGCTTGAAAAAAATGACTATTACAATAAAATAGTATTGTTTAATAGGATAAATACAAATATAAAAAATTATTTTAAAATATTGTAATATATTGTAAGGGGTTTGATTAGATCCTAATTTTTATTTATAGTAAGTGGTTTTTTATACTTGATAATTTAGAACATTTAATGTTTCCTTATAAGGGAATTTGCCTTATACTCTTGCTTTAGCTCCGGATAATTTGTCCCATAGATTTATCGATCTTAGCTATTTAGAATTACTCACCTTTGTCGATCTCCCGATTAATTTATTAAATCACGTGATTGATTTTAGCAATATACTTTGCATCACGAGCCTTAAATTGGGAGCTTAAAACGTCCACATGGCATCGATAGATGAACACGTATATTGTTCCGGTTTTCAGTTTAAAGATGCCAACATGCGTGGAATGTGGAACCCCGGTGACAAACTTATACACAGAGTATAGTAAAGGGAATATTCGACTAACCCATTGTGTAGGCGGTTTTAAAGACTCGTATTTTTCTTCTCGTAAACTGAGAATTATTCAAAATTCTTATAATTTTCTGATTCTAAAATAGGAACGATGTAAAAAGTTTGCGGATAAATACGTGGAACACGATTTCGTTATTATCTTTATTGACATGCTTTTACATAAGCCACAAGTATACAGACACCTGTTATTCAACCGACTAGAGTATAGGGACTATGGAATAGATGTAAGTCTTATTTCTAAATTGTTCACAAGAGAATTATGCGACATGTCACTGATGCGTCTTTTTATAGCCCAATGTACTGAAACTTGGGATACTGCTAATTCTTTTTGATGTATGTATCCTTTAAATAACGCAGCATTAATCTGTTCCTACCACCGTGATCAAATTATATACCATGGGAACTATGACTACCTTAAATAATAGAGTTCTAAGATATCAAGTGGTTTCGCTTGGAGAAACATTATACGATTTCAAACATTCCATTTATTGAACAACCATTGTTCCTTCAATACTTGTACATCTTGTTTCTTTGTGTGATAGGTATGGTAATTTCACAGTCTCTCATTTGATTACTGTCGCCACCGGGATTTTCGTTATTAATGATATATAAATGTTATCAAATTGACAGAATTTATTGTATTTCAATTTGGAGTTAGGTTGGCAGTTAGCATTTATATAGGTTATAAATATGCTATCGTTAAGTGAGTAATTCAGGAAATGGCATATGATATTTTTGCCGAAATTCGATATACGTCTTATTATGCATTGTCGATATGTAGGTACAATTATATCACGATGGCATTGATTATATCAAGTTTCGGTAAGATACTGCTAATATTGATGGTGATTTGGGATTATAACGAACTAGAATACTCCTGGTTGATAAACATAATAGTGCTGACGTCGAATTTGGAAGCGCTTGCAGGTAAAATCTTATTTTGTCTTGCCTTAATTATCTCGGACTCATCCTCCTCATCATCAATACACTTATTCACGTTTCAATATATCAGTGCTTCTAGATATAGATTATCTGAAATCTTTTGGAATCATGTCATTTGGGTTAGGATTGAAAGTTCTGGCGCAAATGTTTTTTATTCAAGTGACAAATAGCCCTTTGTTAATGACTTTATTGAGCATATAGTCTCAGCGAAAAAAAAAAAAAGGAATATTTTGCAATCTAAAATAACGAGAAGAAAATAATTAGAGGAAGAATACAATTGAGTTGACTTATAGTTGACAATAACGGTTGGATTCGGTTAATTTTTAAATAAAAAGCTGGGTCACTTAATATGTCTATTTGGTGGTCCTTCCTCCGAGACGTTATCATCACCGAATTCCTAACTTTCTATTACAATTGTTTCCTCGTCATTGATCTTTCACCGAAAACTAGTTAAAATTCCTATGACTATTACTGTCAATAATTATATTCTAGATTTAGTCATGTCACGAAGCCTACTAATCCCGTCCTTCCAAAAGTTTGGTTTTCCATCATCTTTATAAAATTTTTGTGGTTTAGGAACTTGATCCAATCCAAATAATTGCGGGTCTTTCCTTCTTGCATATTCATAAGCGACCCTTCTTTCGCTCAGAACAAATTTAATCCTGGCCATTGATTTTTGTGTCTAATTGATCGCATGTAAAATTGGAATTCGCACGCTTTTTTCCGAAAATTGTAGGCCAAGGGAGAAGGTAAAAAAACAAACCTTGAAAGTCCTTTCATCGTGTCTTTCTCTCCACAACCTATTATCTAACTTATTAAAACGTTTTGCCTCTTCGTACATGGTGGCAAGTAGGTTGCGCTCTTTGAGCAAAACATACCACAATTTGTGTAAGTCATCGAAGGACTTTCTACGAAGTTCCGAAGCAGTCCACGCCCGGCCTAGCGAGACGATAAGAAAAAATTATTTGGCGGTTGAATTAATAATTTACTTATTCCTGTGAAGAATTGTTTCGTCGGGAAACGAAAGGCACTTACCCGTCACTAATTCCCTTGCTTTAGGCAAGGTAACAATGCGATCTTTGGAATCCTTTTGAAAGAAATCGTATAGTCCCTTGACATACTCGCCGTCGGAAGGTTTAAAATTTTGCCGGATCACACTAGAAGAATGAAGCGAGCGACAAAAAGAAAAAATTTTCATTTTAAAAAAAAAAA